GAGGGGGGCGGAGGTGTACGAATTCCAACTTCTTCATCCCATAAGAAAGAAAACAATACCAGAATCAACCCAGCAAGTCATCCCCATAAACCTATCAGTAACTTGCAAGTGGTATTCTTTAATATTTTATTCTATATTGGCATATAGGCAATCTGCTGACAGGGGTCGTCATTACTCTAATTAAGACAAACATGAGGCATTGTTTCCCAGGAGAAATAAGGACTGCTGGGGAGGCTGAGCCTGCTATATTATTCACCTGTACTCCATAACTGATTTCCAATATTAATACACAAAGGGACTGGGGGGATTGATCCGTTTGTTAAATACCATCGCTCTTTTCCAGATATAATGTACTGGGGAGTATTTTACATCATTCTCTACTTTGAGCCCTTTCAACAGGTACTTAGCATGCCACTTTTTCTTCATATTCAAATAATAAAGGCATTCATTTCACACAGGTGCAGAGGCTGTTTCAACATCACTATTCAGAACTGAGGGACTCTTTTTTTCTGCTTTACTAAGATGTTGACATTTATAATAATTGTTGCATTTGTGCCAAATGAATAAGGGGCTCTCATAGAGGCCACCGCCAAGCCCATAAATTGTGCTACTAGTATATACAAATTGATATAATACACGATTTGCACTAGTGAGTGTCAATATTGTTGGCAAAATTTATACTACTTATGCTTATTATTGACATACTTTCTGAACAGCAACCCATCACAAATTAAACAATCTCATTCCCATACAACAGGTGGTTGCTAGGAGTCAAAGGGGGCAGATTAAGAAATAAGAAGAATGCAGAAGGTATCTATTAATTCTATTGCTCAGAGATGCCCAAAGATATATAAACATAAATGCAGGCAATATTTGTGGCCAATGTTACATGTGTATCCGTTACCATGGTAATCAGTTGCCATAGCAACACAGTCAATTATCTTAATACTTGCTCAACATGACATGAGCGTGACTCTCTTTTGGCTGTCACAATGCTTATTAATCATTTATTCAAAGACCAGCAATATCTAGTTCCACAGCTGAGGATCAATACAAGATCAACATAACTGTGCGGCTGTATTTCTTGGAAATTTTCAGACATGAGATTTACCAGGAAAGAAGAGATAATGCATCTGCAGTTTACAAATAAGATACATATTCAATTTAGAAATTTATCTTTTGAAGAATTTAGGCCATTTTCCCTAGCTCCTAAGTATACAAAAATGCATCTTACATTTCAGATAAGATAAAACAGGCTTTGAAAATTTTTACATTATGCAACAGCATGAAAAAAATTAAATAAGCAATTCATAAATATGAGCATGGCAAAATGCTAAATTCCTTATGACAAAATTCAATAAGTTAGAACTTTTCTATATCCCAATGGAAACTAAATATACAGCTAAAAACAATATTTTCATCAGGCTTATAATAAATACTCCCAGCTCAAATTTCCATTTCGATAATGTATAATATTCTTTTAAGCGTCAAATATCTTGAAACTTCAAAGTTTATATTCACGCTTCTCTAGGGTCAGTGTACATTTATTTAACACGAAAGACTGCTTTCATACAAAAGAAATCATAGCAATGAACACTCTCTTTTTTTCAGCTGTGATACTGATATTCAAGCCTACCCAAACTTCAAAACCAAGTTAACCTGATGCATGTAATGAAACAAATATATTGTATTCACATAAAAAAATTCTAAAAGAAAAAATTCAAACCCAGATTCACAGATGAAAAATGAAGGCGCTGTGACTTTTTTCTCAGTCATAAGACGTTTAGACATCAATATTTTTTTCATGCATTTTCACCGACAACAAAAAATGGCAACAAAATAAATTGGAATTATACTTTTCAGGCTGAAAATGATCACACTTAATGCATGCATAATGAAATGAAAAATGAATACTGAACCTCTCCGTCTTCTAAACTTGACAGCTAAAAAGGTATGATGATGTATGTGACCAGTCAAACTACATCAGAACGAAATTAAATCTTAAATTTCATTCCCTTTTACACTGATTTGTGTCTATCAATCAAGTTGAAAAAAGAAAAACAATCTTTCACTCTTTTAGGTAAATGAACTTAAGTTGTTTTTCTATTTTCTTTTTTTTTTTGTAATTTAATCAGCCATCATTTTATTGGACTTTTTTTGTATCAAAATGAAAATCTACTGGTCAAATTATATGTACTGGACTTTCAATTTCAAAATTGCACTTTACCCTGTTCTTATCTTTTCAAATAAAATTAAATTATCATGTTACCTTTATAAACTTATACAATTTATAAAAAATACTAAAACATTACAAAGTTTATATTCGAAATAGAACATGGTGTAAATCTGTATCTTAACCCATGTTATTTTTTTTTCAATTGTACATGACAATTCTTTTATAACTTTTACTCAGCTATGCTTAGAGTTTTAAAATCTGGTAACTATTTTAAATATTATTTAGTATCTGCATGTTATATTAATAATATCCTCAAAAAGTCCTTTGCCCCCTACATTAAAAAGGTTTTTGGAAAACATATAATGACAGAGTAATACTTTACTTTGTCACAATCTCAGTCAATAAGTTTAAAAAACTGGATAATAATCAATGTTTTGATATACTTTTCAAGCTTTATATATGTAATACTTATCGTTTTTCATTAACAGTAACTGATATAAATATCTTAACGAAAGTACATAAATTTTTAAACTGAATACTCACCAATCCATTTTTGTTTTTGTCATCCCTTCTTGGGCTTATAATCTTACCATACCTAAAAGAAGAAACATATAAATGGTGGTGATAAAACCTTGTCTAATACTTAAGGGACTGATTGTCTTGAAAAAATAAATTTATGTACTAGTATCAACTCTAAATGTAAGTTGCAATACAGTAACAGTAATAATGGCACAGCACCACTGTAAAATTACTCGGAGAATATGTAGAGTATAGTATATAAGTGACAGTATGTGCCACTGCCATGAAATTTTTATTTCTATGTCCTTTTTGAAAATGATCTGAACCAATTTTAATTTCAAAAGGTAGTTTTAGATGGAACTTTCAGCTAACATCTGAGACTGATATATATGTACATCATGTATGTATATTTATTTGTACCGGTGTTGGTCTTAAAATGGGAGACAGAGACACTTATAATACGCAACTCACTGTAAACCCAGCTGCAATTTTCCAGTTGTGATCGCAATGTACTCCTCTTGTCCCTTCAACTCTTCTAAATCTGCGACTTTTTCTCCGCCTATCGTCGCAATCCGTCGCACAGGGACTGGTGTTTTTAGAGCTTTGGAACAAGCCTCCAGAAAAGTCTCAAAGTCTTTTATGTTTCTTCTGTTTACCACGACAGTTCGTCCATTTGTGGCGTCCCCGTTCTTGTATACTTTAACCCTCTTTGCCTGTATCGGCACGTAACCCGTGGCCATTGTGACAACTCAGTATTTCACAGATAAAGCAATCTTCACAAACTTTAAAGAGTGTCTTTTGACGTTGACAGCATTTATGTGTTCTCCATGTTTAACCCAAGGATGTGACGTCACGACTTGGACCAGTGGCTTCTGGGAAAATAATATTGTACGGTCTTTTAGCATAATTTATTTATTTATCATTATCACTAAAATATATAAACTGTGACTATTATATTATTAAAAAACACTATACAATGGCAAATTTAACATTTTATTTAAATGATTTTTTAAATCTTAGTTGCTATTTAAATGGTAAATATATGCCGTATAGAATAAATCATCATACTATTAAGACCCGTTACTCTTTCACCTATCGCTCCATGGTCACAGGTAAACAATAACATCAGATCGATGTAAAGGTGAAGCAAAACTCTTATTTACCCGTAAATTGTGAAAGCATTGTTAATTATAAACTACCCTACATTCAGAAATACTTCAGATAATTAGGAAACTAACAAATTATCGATCACCCTACAAATAAAGACAAGTTAAACAAGGACACGCAGTGCACATTAATTTGTCAATGTCATAAGTCGCCCATTTCCATCTCATCTTGCTTCACTGCGCGTTTTGTGCAATTTACAATAACTTCACCTGGTACATTCATTATCCTGAAAAGGTATTGACTGCGATAAAGACCTGTGTGCGAGGCTCTAAATTAAGGCATCTTTACGTTATAGATTAGATCTAAGCCTACTGAAAAAATGAAGTCGCGCTCACTCCATAATAATAAACTTAGTTCTACAGATACAATAATCATGTTTCAATTGGCAATAAAAATGGGACGGTGAAGTGGTGGGAATTAGATAAAGTTCATTTATTTTTAAATTATTGTTTTTCTTTTTATCAAGAGCTTATAAAATATGTGGGTATTACCTCCAATATTTCTGTGACTGTCATCAGGAATATTGGAGGTAAACCCACATATTTTATAAGGAAGGCTGAAATTTTTGTAGTTACTTTTAAAACAATAACTCATTATTTTTTATCATTAATAAAAATATATTTAGTGCCATTTGAGTTTATTTAAAAATAAAAAAATCAAGTTTGATTTCATAGATATTAGCTAGATCTCTTGTTAATAAATGTTTTTAATACATGCAAAATAATGAAGGTATCGTATACCCAGCTTACACGTCCAGAACGTTTTTAAAACAGGGTTATATATCGGTTAGACCATCAACAAGTGTTAAGAGAACGTTATTCTAACGCTCTTTACTGCCACTGTCATCATCATTGATCCGAGGAACCTTGTCAGCAAGTTCTATTAAAGGGATAATAACTCTTCGTATGAGGTCTATTTTTCACAATAAAAACATTGTGAATAACTCACAGAAATATAATATATTCTGTGTTATGACAAAAACAGTTATAGCTATTATTCTGATATCTGAGCTTGTCTTCAGACCATGTGACCTCCATTGATGGCTATACTCTGTTATAATCTCTTAAGAGATTTTAACAAAAAACCAAACTTTTTAGAAAAAAACCAGGGACTAACTTTGAATGTAAAAATGAATTCATTAACCATTGATAAGTGTGGGAAAATTGTTGTTTACTCCAGGAAAATTAATTTTTTGGCCAAAACGAAGAGTTATTATCCCTTTAACGTATATAAATTTTGATGAAAATTTACAAATGATACATTTTTGTTAATTTTGGCACAAGCACATGAACAAAGGATATCATATTTTGCATCACTACAATTTGCACAACTTTAATCATCACATCTAGTATTAAAACGTTTTAACAATGTCATAAAAGTAAAAAGATATATTTACCAATATAGCAAGCAGGAGACGCGCCATACGCTGTCGGTATAACGTTGGGCATACGCTGTTTTAACTACGCCCAGTGGCTGATTACAAACTGGGGTTGCAGGGCCGTAGCCTCCGGGGGGGCAGGGGGGGGCAGCTGCCCCCCCTGGAATTTGGAATTTTACACACCACACCCACCCCCCTCGGTAGCTTCGCCCCTTTGTGTCCGCTTACTGCCCCCCCCTGGCATTTTACTCAGGCTACGGTCCTGGGTTGGGGTTAGTCGGTGACGAGAGCGATGAGGATTTTAGAACCCTCCGGGAGTCGGTACCTACCCGAAATTACTGACATGCTGAAAAGCTTAAAAAAACTATAAAAATAGACTCCAATTATGTAATAAGATTTATCAAAATGATTAAAAAGGTGTTTTCAAGTTATCTTGATAGTTGATTGGCATTTGTGATGATTGAATGGATTGTTTTAACTTCATTTTAGAAAATCCATTCTAATATATTGCTAACACGGGAGTAGTGAAAAGGTTTAGCAATAAATTCTTGACTGAAGCAATCAGGTGGAACAGTACGCCTCGGTCATCTGATAGACAAATTGGGGGAGTCCATTCAATCGGAGGGGTATGGTGGAGAAAATCCACTCAGTCTGAGGCATGATAGGTGGGACGACTCCATTCCAAATAAAGGGGTGTTAATGTTATGTGGGGCGATTCCAATCCATTAGAGGGGTGGCAGGTGGGGCGAGTTCATTGCATAAAAGGGGTGGCAGGTGGGGCGAGCCCATTGCATTAAAGGGTGGCAGGTGGGGTGAGTTCATTGTATTGTAAGGGGTGGCAGGTGGGGCGAGTCCATTGTATTGTAAGGGGTGACAGGTGGGGTGAGTCCATTGCATTTGAGGGGTGACAGGTGGGGCGAGACCATTGCATTAGAGGGGTGACAGGTGGGGCGAGTCCACTGCATTAGAGGGGTGACATTCGGCGAGTTCATTGCATTAGAGGGATGACAGGTGGGGTGAGTCCACTGCATAAGAATTTAGAGGTGACAGGTCGGGCGAGCCTTCTAATTATTCCAATTTGGTTTAGAGAACAGGAACTGAAGAAATTGTTTTACTCTCAGAAATCAAATTTTTTGGTCAATTTCAGCCGTATCCATTTAAAAACCAACTTGATTTAAGCTTACATCAGAATCATCCCACCTCTTCATTATCAAGTTCAAATGTCAAATTAAGTATTTATACTAAGAATAGGCCGCCAAATTAAAACAATTCACGATAGCAAAAGCCAAAACCCGTCAAAATGGGACCTCCCTATATAAGAAAATATAGGAGAAATTATATCTAAACGAATCAGTTGCATATGCTATAGAACAAAAATCTCATGTGAATTTTTTAAAAACTAGGATTGACATTGACATGGTTTACAAATCTGATTGAATTTGAAAGTCCTCAAACACTAAAAACAACTCATTTTCCATTATGATTAGGCCTACTTCTATTCTTATCATAATAATTTCATAACAAAGTGAAAAATAAAACGCCAAATTAAAAAAGTTTTTTTATTGAGTTTTCATATAATAAATGTCTGAAGGAGCGTGGGTTCCTGTGTGTGAAACAAAGACTAGACTTCATAGGTTGCTTTCAGCAGATGATGTGCAGAATCTCAATAAGCTCCTGAAAAGATAAAATAATGTTTACAACTTTGAACTAAACAGACAGGCTCTCTACATTCTAATAATGCATGTAATATCACAGGGCAGAGGACACATAAATGGAATGGCGCGCAAGCTTATTTTAAAACTAGTCTGATGTTCAGGTTCAGCTAGCTAGCGCAAAATCAAAATTATGATCTGGAATTACTTAATGATACAATTATTTGACGTCTCTTGTTTAAAAAGTAACATTGATAGCACAACCCGTTTCTTTTGCAGGGTAGGCGTGGTTATTGCTACAACCGTTAATATATTCCTCTTGATATGTTGTAGTACATGTTGACGCATTTCAGAGAAAGAGATCATTTACAAATTCTCTTCAAAAATTATACCAAATGGGGCCTATTGCACATATATAATAAGTTTTCATACAGTGAACCGTGTAATGGATGAACAACACACGGCACAAAGGAGACGACAAGCTGTGTAAAATTTGTATCTGTCAATCATTGTGCAATGAGCACTCGAAATCCTTAGATCATTAGCTCAGAATGGTGTCAAGCATCATCCAATTAATTAATTTGAGTGGTAATACTTACATTTAAACACACACGACATTTTAAATTAGGTCAAAATATTCAAAATTAATTGTCAAGGCACACAGAATGTTCAAATAGAGGGTTACAAAGTGCAGAGGATTTCAAGCAAACTTAGATTATCATCAAAAGTCAGATGAATGCGCCGTTTATCCTGAACATTTGGAGTCCCAATGCACTGTAAGCAATAATTTCTACCATTCTGAGTGACATACAAATGACAATGGAAATATAGTAAAATGATTTATGTCATAAATATTTGTCGTAAATATTTTTCTCATTCTTCTTTAGTATTTAATGGCTGTGGTTGATGAAGAAATAGTGATACTCACAAACATACATTTGCTTCCACGCCTTATAAAAGCTCGACCCACATATACTGTTGCGTCTACACCCGACTCTGTCTAACTGCCAAATGAGCATTCGGGAAGACAGCTCGCACTACGACTTGTTGTTATGCAAATAACAACAGGTATAGCTATATTTAGGTGAGAGGTTGTTACTGAAACTGTTCAAGAATGTGCAAACGCGGTGGTGATACCTTCATATGCTCAAAGTCGTGCAAATATTCGATGTCACATACAATACTCTACAAGGCCAAAAGTGTCTATCTGGGCCTACTACACATGTAGCCCACCTGTTGAAAGGGGGGGGGGGGGGGGGGAGAACGACAAACCTCTGATGCGAAGCCGACCATCGCCCTCTTGGCGTGGTTTTGGGGCCTGCTCAAGGGCACCGAAAATTTTTTGTGTTCTGGATATGTGTTCTGGAGAGCAAACAGTGCCCTTTGGTACGGTTTAGAACTATGATTTAGCTAGTCAAAATTCCAATTTCAAGAGAGGAATATTGGTGTGATATATTTTTCAGAAACCGAAGGGGGGGTCAGGACCCCCCCCCCCTGAACCCCCCTCTAAATCCGCCACTGTTGTCAGGAAGCGAGTATGATGTCTAACGTCTAAGATGTTCATTTTGAATAACTCAATGAAAGGCTATTTTCGCGGTGTCGACAATTTTTTTTAAATTGAAGAAACTTTCTTGGTTTCTTTTTGGGCAGGTCGGTATTTTTAATTGTTTTTGTAATATTTTAGCCATGAAATAATCTTAAATTCAGTTACATCCATGATAAGCTAGACGATAATGGCAACAGGGCACAGTTAAATGTTTTACACGATACACGGCAAAACTGCATTCTCTTTTAAATATGCAAAACCTTCGTTTACCAGGCATTGTGAAAAATGTACTTGATATTGAGGGGAAAATGTTCCAGTAAAAAAAATTGTTTGTATTAATAACGTGAGAATATTATCCAAAGGGGTTAATTTAAAACTTTCGTTACCAAAACCTTCGTTACTGAATACGAAAATTCCCCATACTAGCAAGGCATGAATTTTTAATTTTCCACGCTTTATACAAAAAGCAAGATTTATCACTTTCTATCACCATAGTTTTAGATTTAGTAGAAATCTGGAATATATCTTGCACTACATTTTTCTCTTTTGTTTTCTTCCAGTGGACCTATACATTGAGAATGAATGTTCGTGAAAGATTGACAGAAGTCTTCCTTGCTCCTGTGCTTTATTCCTCAAAGTTATTGCAATAATTATAATAATAATAATAATAATAATAATAATAATAATAATAATAATAATAATGATGACGACGACGATGATGATGATGACGACGACAACAATAAATAAATAAATAAATAAATAAATAAATAAATAAATAAATAAATAAATAAATAAAATTAGCGGTTTGTTATTTTCTACACATTTAATCGAAAACCTTCAGGATACAGGTATCAAAACCGTGTTTATGTACAAAGTGTCTGTATGCAATAAAACGTCTTTATTTTTAAAGCCAGACAAGTAAATTTTTTGGACAAATCCATAGAACCAGATAGGCCTGTCTTTAAACATAGATTAATCAATTGCAACTGAAAAATAACCGGTAGCCTATTTTAACAAAGCATTGTTTGAAAGACATGATATAATTGAAATTATAGGAGGAATGTTGATTTCTGTTTTCAAGGGCATGTTTGAAGAAACTGGAGTGTACACTTTCTTATAATTGCATTTTTCATTGCTAATAAGAAGTCCCTATTACTTTTTATACTATTTCAGAGACCTCCGTGATATTAGGGTGTAGTACTACTTTTTATACAACTATTCGTTTTTCGGCAGCTGCCTTTTTCACTGGTCTCACTCACCATCGATTAAACTTTTAATTAATTGGTTCAAATGGCACTTTTTGCTTGATCTTCTTTACTAGTCTACTGCTGTAAACCATACGCTATTGTAATAGTAAATAACGATGCGTTCACAATGAAACTTCCTTGCAAGGAAGTTCGATCGAACTCCACTGCCACTGGAAACTCTCGCTGAATGCAACCATATTGATTGAAGGACACGCCCCTCTTGTTTCCAACATACTCGAATAATCGCAAGCTTTTTTTTTTTATTCTACTCAACCCCAGAAAGGTGGATTTATGACCTTTAATTCTGATTGCATTCAGCAAGAGTCCCAGCGGAGTTGGATCGATCTACCTGAAGTATAATAGTTTCATTGTAAATGCACCCCAAAGCATCTCATACATGTTATACATACGTACTATAACCGATTATTTAATGGCAACCTTCTGTGTACAGTTTTTAATTATAACATTATAAGGTCTATTATTTAAACTTTGAAGATTTGAAATGCATTCTCAAACATTTCACCTCAAAACTGGCTCTAATCATAAATGCACCCTAATTTCAATATTACGCTTTAGTGAAAACGATTTTCCAAACAACAGTTAGTACGTGTTGTTAATTCTAATATAACATTGTTGCCATAAGCTAGCGCGTACTAGAAAATGTGTGAAATGTATTTACATCAATAAGAACCATTCACAAGAAAGTAACTCAATAACTCGATCTCTTTACCGTTTCTTGACTCCTATTTTGTCGATAATGACGCCAGTACCGACCTAACCTTGAAATGAATGGATTGTACCATGCGTATCTACTTTATTCTTATTTGAAGGTCGTATTGTAGAGGAAATAAAATGGCGACAACTACGACAGAGGCAAATGTCACAATCAGAAACAACCGGTCCAAAATGACAGCATAGAGTTGCCATTCCAAATGAATCTTTAGCTTCTCTCGCTTTTTCTCGCTCTCGTATGACAGAGTCCTCCTGGCGCCTTTGATTTGCGCCAGAATAGCATTCAGAGTCAGGCGACTGTGCAACTTGCCATCGTTTTTTATCAATGAATCGTTATCCGTGTTGGACTCGCCTGTAACTGGAATATCCAAAACATCCATTGATATGTCCTGAAATTGTAATGATCGGACGGTTAAAATAGAAGAATAAAAAAAACTTGCAAAGTAAATGTTTTAAAAATATCGTTTTGCCTTCGAAATAATAATAATAATAATAATAATAATAATAATAATAATAATAATAATAATAAATTAAACTAGTAATACATTTATCTATCTATCTAAAAATAACATCCTCAGTGAAAAATTTACATCAGAGTGGAAATGAAAATTAACGGTGTGCATAAACTGAAATGTAGGCTAATATGCAACTTATTTAAACACAATGGAAAATTTTTTTAAAAAAAACTATACTCTGCAATAAAGCATACTAAATCAAAAATTTATGCCAACTGGTTATTACGTTTTTCTCTTCATCTGCACTAGTATCAAATATTTTCTTCGCCTCTTTTCCGAAGCCAAGTACTCTTCCAATGCAGCCCACTACTAGATGGCGCTTGCAGTACGTCAGTGAGTGCCCTGATCCTTGTTCTAGATATGCTCCATAGGACCAACATGAGAGGACAACAGACAGAACGATGCGGCAAATCACGGACACAAAGAATTGAGCTGAAATTGAAATGTGCCATTGCATTAGATGTGACTGGAAAAGGTTTTACCGAACGATGCGGCATATCACAGACACAAAGAACTGAGCTTAGATTGGTTGTGTCTTGTGTGAATCAATATTTGGTAGAGTAAGCTAGAGTTGTGTTGGTTATGATGGAAATGATTGCACATCTAGTTGCATTAGTTGTGACTGATACTGTGTAACGTTGCATTAAGTGTCATGGAAGGGGTATTCACTGGCTAAATTAGCTCCGTTAAACTGGGAAGATTACTTGGTGTAAACATGTACATACATTTTATAATTATACCAGCAAAATATTGAGAGAGAGAGAGAGAGAGAGAGAGAGACTATCTACATACATGTGCATCTTATAATTTTACCAGCAAAATATTGAGAGAGAAAGAGAAAGAGAGAGAGAGAGAAAGAGACTATTTACATACATGTGCATCTTATAATTTTACCAGCAAAGTTTTGAAGAGAGAGAGAGAGAGAGATGCTTGTGTCGTACCTATGACTGGTACTTCGTTACTCCCTGTGACACCCATAGGAACAATGTCTTTGCTGTACACAGTAAACACAAAGAACCCAACTAACTGAATCAATGCGAATGTAATCCTCTGAGGGCTACTAACGGGAAGTAAAAACACACACAGTGGCAACAAGGTGAAAACGATAAACGGGAAAATCACTGTGTACCAATACGTCACAGACCGGCGTGCAAACCGGAAGGTGAAAGTTGACTTGACGTAGACGCGGTTCAAAAACGGCGTTGAGGCACTTTGTGATGACAGTGACGTCACTTCCCATTCGATGTTCGGAATCATGTCTGCAGCCGAGCTAGAAGTTTGAACTACGGGGCGGGGTTGGGCTGTGATGGCGACAGGGAAGGATAAGACCGTTATGTTGCAGTCCTGGTAATCAAAAGGAAAGAAATACAGGTCCGTCTGGCATGGAACGTCCACCGGTCGCCCCGGAGTGATCCAAGTTATTAATCCCGTTGAGTCAATGGAAATACTGTCGTCTGCCGTCTGTTTTGCTATTTCTTTGTAATGCTGAAAGCTGGTAGATGAATGCATTTGTTAGTAATGTAAATAAATAAACAAATAAATAAATTTATAAACATCTTTTATGCAATTATCCAACATAGATTTTAATGAAAAAGTTGGACCATGTTTTATCCCATTAGGCCTACTTTTTGACATCTGACCATGGGCCTTAATTTGAGTAAATGTGTTTTTGACTTTAACTTAATAACTTTGTAATTTTTATACCATTCACGCCTGCTTTTAAAAGTTACCTTTCTAGGTAGCGGACTTCTGGGGTCCAAACGTCGTTTGGCTGAACGTGTATTGTGTTCACACCGCCATATTGCTGACGGTTCCATTGGAGCCGCTCATCTAACCAACTCTAGAAAAAAGAGAGTTTTTGGGATGATAAGGAGCCAAAGAGGCGTGGCTCGTGTTAACATATGAAAATGCGGTTTTTTTCTTCTTACGGTATTTCTTACTTGTGTTCTGTAAAAATGAAAAAAAAGAAGAAAAAACGTTAATTAAATCTTGAGGTTAAAGGGTGGTCAAAAGTTGGGGTAGGGTTCTATGGTACTAGTGCACGTACTGCTGAATTTAGACTTAATTTGTTAGAAAATACTTACAGTCTGAATCAAAATATCCATTCCAAGCGCGGTGTGATCAATATTCTGTAATTATGATTAAAATTAGAAAAAAAAAACTGAGTCAGTGAAATATTACGAAATACGTTTCATACGATGCCCCGTAAGCACCACACTAAACGACGCTAAGGGGTGCATGCAGGCCATCGTAGTTCCAATTCTTATGCTTTACTATCAACTAAAACGGAAATAATATAAAGTATAGTAGGCTATGACCAAATAAATCGGGGACCTCCTTGTGGGCCCCCACTTATCGTAATCCTCAGTTGAAACTATAACACTCGTGAAGTCGACGTTAGACTATTTATATTTAGTGTATATAGAAAGACGACATACTATTTTGAATCACTCATTTATACAGTCAAAAAAGCATGAAGTTAAGTGTAAATGGGTGATTCAACAAATAATAATAATAGTAATAGTAATACACTCACAATATGTCTCAATCTTTGCACGATTATTCTGATAGTACTCTTGTTTGAAGTAAAATGTTCTGCAGACGGTGGCTGTAATTGTTGGTAATCCTGAAATATCGCCTTTATTATCTCAGCCTCGTAATTGGTTGTTGGTTCCTCCGTGGTTGTCATTGCGTTAGATGTGACATTTGCACTGGTTGTTCCCGCAGTCGACATTGTGCTATTGGGTGTGCCAGTGGTATTGGTAACTTCAGAGGAGATTGCGGTAGGAGTGACGGGTGAAAGTGTGGTCTGCGAGGCGATTGTGTCCGGTGTGACAGAAGAGTTTGTCAGCATTGTGCTGGTGGACGCTTCCACGCTTGTTGAATTGGGATCCAAAACATTTTTCACCGTCGAAGAATATGTTGGGGAAACCGCGGGCGTTGTTGACGAGGAAACATTCGCCGCTCCAGTTGCTGATGGCGGTGTTGTGGTAATCTCTTGCACAGCGGGAGGTGACGTTAAATTTTGCTCAGTAGAGGGCGTTTGGGTAGTCACATTTTGAGCTTGAATATCTGAAAAAAAAATAAAGAAAATAGAGATTTAATGTACTGAGATCTACACCAAAAGTCATTAAAAGGCCTTGGACCCACCTCCGGGCAGTATCCAGAATGAGAAAAGAGGCACTTGAATATAAGAGGGAGAAAGGTAGGCTACGGCAGAAAGACAAATGTTTAGTTGAAATTTGTAGAGATGAATGAACGAACGTTTTCAATAACGGATCAGGCCGGGGGACGGATCGACGGGCGAACAGACAGAAAAACAAATATAGAGAAAGTGCGCTTTTTCGACTGTGCACTTCCTCCAGAGACAAAAAACACGACGAGTGGAATTTAACTGAACAATTCAAGAATTCCACGTAACGTAAAGTGCATGTGCTACGTGTCAATCCCAGAGCACCGCCACATGACCTTCTACTAGTATTAAAGTTTATTTTAATTTTTTTGTTCATTATTAATTGTTTTTGCGCCTGAAGATAAGTCAATCAGATCTTTGGGTCATTGAATTAATCCTCTTCTTAATCTTTATCTTCTAATAGATTGCAAACCGAGGCCAGTAGAGCCTTCTGCAGGTTCTCTTACTCGGAGGTTCATGATAAGTAACTGATGTAGATCCGTGTAACAGAGGCTGCCCTCCATTAGATTCATATAGGTTTAAGTTATCGTGACGTAAGCGGATGATAATGATAATTATAATAATTAATTGTCATATGTATACATAAAAGTATAAAATGGAAATTAATATGTTCCGTCGATAAAATAAAATACAATAGAATGATTAAAATCCATTTTGTTCATACGAAAATACATTTACGTACTGCCGATGGCATAAGGATCTACAGCTGGTCTTACCTGTACATATCAATATATCACACCAAAGGGTCTCTGACACCGGACCATTTTTGAAAAATATTTGGTTTGTTTTGTGTGCATAACAACTTGAATGTTATATTGAAACCGTTGTTTTTTTTTTTTACGTGATCGTGTGTCATTTTTACCTGGCTGCTCCAGCACCATAGCGGCACGCCTAGGACATTGACCTATAACGCGAGTGTATGAGGAGGTTAATGGCAAAACTGGACAGGTAGCCCTATTAAATTCTGATTTTATCAGTGCTGTCATTCCGCTTAGAAGTTCAATTCACCTTGAAAGCGGTTGTCTTCGTGAATTGTGCCAATCTGATATGATCTTGTTTAGAAGTAGAAATGATAACAATATTGAAAAAAACCTTTGCCAGTTGTAGTTCACGATATCTGGCCATGGTCCGTTGTTATCGATCTTCCTTTGACCTTGAAACTCCTTGAAAAGCGTTTGCTTTTTGCCTTATTAAAGAATATCAAATCATTATTAATTAGAGAGTGTTTTAAAAAGGGGAATGCTTTCTATCCCATATGCACATTAATATTCTCTAGATTAAAACCAGCAATTTCAGCCAAATGTATTGGTGTAGATATGCTAGTATAGGTGTTTTAAAATATGGTACCACTTAAGAGCAGTACTTTATCAACTAAACTATCACAGTTCATCATTGCCCGTTTTCATGCTTAACGTACATTAAATGACAGGGACCGCCCAACTTTGGATTTCCCCGGTTGAAATTGACAAACAGTTATTGTTCTTGTACTCTACGACCTGGTTTTATAAGTCTTTTTAATTCATTCCTTTTTAATTATTCTCATTTGTCGTCCTCGGGAAATGATTTGATTTTTGTAGACCTGACAGTGCACAGTAATATGGGCTATTCGTCACTGTCAGGCTAACGCACGCACGTGCGTGCGCGCGTGTGTGTGAAATTTTGATAAATCTCAGGGTGTGTATTTTCTATTTATTTTGGTCAATATTTTGTTAAAATTTTGGAGAAAATCCAGGGCTCTTCCTTTCTATTTTTCTTGCCCGCACTGCACATCGTTGAATAGATTTAATCGGGCGAGCGATAAAAAAGACAGCATTGTAAACGTTTTCCGTTATACTTTAGGCCTTCAAATTACTCGTATCTATCATTTTTATCTGTACAACAACGAGCACCTACTTTGACAGGCTTTATCTATCCGCCGTATCTTTTGAAATTGGCTTCCAAATCATCTGCGTAAATACACTTGAACAGACGATTTTCAAAAGTTTTACATGAAGAGTGTCAAGGGGCCATTGGGGCGGAACAAATTAAAGCTGAGTATACTAGTATTGTGTTCAGAATACACCGTATTTTGTTCCATATTATCATATGACCTCAGGTTTCTTGTGGTGCCAGAATATCGCACTATTAGGCGACCGATCAGAATAAATAGTAACAGCAACGAATATCAGTAACCATTCAGAATTTTTTTGTGGCATACAAAGTCTTTTATTTACGCGAAACATAAGAATGTCTTTTCTCCTTTTTTCACAGGGGGTGGGTGTTTTGGGTGTGTGGTTTAGCCGAGATATCTTAGGTGTTAGATTTGGATGATGAGAAGAGGATGACTCGGTCCTAGAACCTTCAAATTTCCCCGCAATTGTCCGCAGTGACACCTGGTGGACAGTGCTATGACCAATGACAGAAGGCTTGACTCACTCAGAATTATTATACAACGTAAATGGGTTAAACTTCTGTGGGAAAACTTTTTTTATATTATCCTATGAAACCTCAAGTTTTTGTTATAATCCTATTTTGCTTAAAGCGAGCTTTGGGTTGCAAATATACAGGCGAGAATAATTGGAGCAGTGGGGTGCACGTTAGAATAAAATCTGTGAATAAGAGAGATGGGGCGTATCTAGTGCTTTCTCAGGTGTAATATTACCATTTTAACATGATTCGGTCCAGGGGATTCGAGTGCGACAACGCATTTGTTATCATTGTTCAGTATTATATGGTGGAATTATCATGACCTGGCCCATTCGCATCTCTCTCTCTCCCCCTCTCTCTCTTTCTTCTTTTCTTGGTGATTTTCCTTTTCAAGAGAGAGGTATACTTGCTGTATTTCTAATAGAGCCAGCAATCATGCAGGTGCAGGGCTGTGTGTGTGTGTGTGTAAGAGAGAGAGAGAGAGGAGTAGGAGGACGCGAGTTTTGAGCATCCATAAATCAAGAAAGACTCAGCTTGCTTAGCTAAAACAATAAATCCTTACAAGACCATTAGCTGAGATAAAAAATATCCTGTACAAATAAAAAAACAATGACGCAGTCTCAGTCTACTGGTAGGCAAACCAAACTGGTATACCTTTCATGTACGTCTTGAGCCATGTCCCCATACAAACGAGCCCTAAGATTACGCTTAGATCACCATTGGGAGCCAATCTTATCCCGAATTTNTGTGTGTGTGTGTGTGTGTGTGTGTGTGTGTGTGTGTGTGTGAGAGAGAGAGAGAGAGGAGTAGGAGGACGCGAGTTTTGAGCATCCATAAATCAAGAAAGAGTCAGCTTGCTTAGCTAAAACAATAAATTCTTACAAGACACATTAGCTGAGATAAAAAATATCCTGTACAAACAAAAACCAATGGTGCAGTCTCAGTCTACTGGTAGGCAAACCAAACTGGTATACCTTTCATGTACGTCTTGAGCCATGTCCCCATACAAACGAGCCCAAAGATTACGCTTAGATCACCATGGGGAGCCAATCTTATCCCAAATTCTACCACCCATGTGGTCACTTCGGGTGTGCAATTTGAACGGCTACCTACCACGATGAGCTGATCGTAACAATACAGCCAGTTCAGATGGAACATATCAAGAAAGGTTGCGCCAGTTTTAGTGGTATACAGGGCCTAATTTGTATAATCTAAAGGCCCAACCTACCAGTACACACGAACGCTCTATCGTTTTAAAATGTGAATATATTAAACCAGGCCCGTAGCCAGCAATTTTAAAGGGGGGGGGGGTTCTTTTTCTGAAAAAGTGGACCTTTTACCATATAATCCCCATGTACCTAGGTCAAATTTTACACAGAGTGGACCTTTTTCCAGCAAAAAGGGGGGTTCTTTTGACCCCCCCGAACCCCACCTGGCTACGGGCCTGTAAACAAATGTATTTTCGTACATGTAACCCCTAGAGTAGAATCATAACCTTAAACTGAACCTTAAAGTGAGAACATTCCGTTTGGCTCCGAAGGCTGCATGAAAAATTTTAATAAATAAATAAATAAATAAATAAATAAATAAATAAAATATAGAGTTGCTAATGGGGTTTAGCCACCATTCTGTCTTCAAGGAAGAGAAAACAAACTTACCACATACGTTAATGAAGAAATTAACTGTCCAATTTCATAAAGATTAATACCTTGTAAATTATTCGCCTTTTGCGTGTGATAAAACATTTACAATTAGTGACTTCTGCTTGAATAAACGATGAGGCACTCACCTACGTGCAACACAGCCAAGATAAGAATATATAGGGTTCTTTCCCACGTTGTTCTCAACATCTTTCAAACCCTTGGGATGTGGCTTGGACGACGTTCTTTTAAGTGCCCTAAACCTTATTGGCCTAAGATGGCGTATTCTTCACCGGTAGGGTACGTTTATGCTGAAACTTATAAATCCAAGACAAACGGCGTTGGGTTACAAGAAATAAATAACGCTTGTGTATATATCCTTGTAAATTCCTCTGCAGTTCAAGGATGCGGGTCCAGCGTATATTATGTCTGTTATATCGCTCGTTTGCTAACCTTGCAGAAAATCTTGCACGAAAACTTGAATTTAATTGAATATTGTACAGCCTTGTGGATCGGTTCCGTACACAAGCGATGTCAACTGAAATAATTTTTTTTTTCTTTTTGGTGTCAGAAACAATGTGTAATTTGAGTGTCCCTTTTCAGCAAAAAAAGCGGCATATATTATCCACCGAATTAACTTGCAAGAGAACGCAGACACTCCCCTTACCTTGAGCACGGCCCCAGTCTTTGCCACGCCGTCTTCCTGCACCTACCGGCTAAGGACGCTAATCAGTCACCGTCCAGCGTGAAATGTAATAAAATATCCCACACCTGTCCTTTCACTAACGCCAGGACTTGTATAAATAAGGCAGAAATATTTACATCACCGTTCAGGCGCGATGAAAAAGACGAAGGTGCTTCCACAAACAAGAAGACCCCAGCACAATATTAATGTCAGTATTGCGGTCGGTTGACCGTGTTGTGTGCGACACAGTTAACCAGATCGCGGAACGTCCTCTATATCATAGAGAGTTAATCTTGGTGCAAATTTCACGCACGTTAACCGCGTAAATGAAGCTCGTATATTTTATTAAACACTACCTTGGTAAACTACCGAGGGCCTAATAACCATCTTCGTGTGACCATTAACGAAGGCTGACACAGGGCGAGTTAATAGGATTCACTTAGCTCGTTCATCAGTATTAATTGCAAAAACACAAGTGTATGCCACTGTTGCAAAATCCCCTCTCACAGGCATTTAAGTCTTTCCGTGTGCAAGCGGAAAGTACACACACACACACGTGTGCAAGTACACACACACACACACACACTCTGACACGTGCACGCGCGCACGAGGGCACACATGCAGACATATACGCGCACACACACGCTCGCTCGCGCGCATGCATACATACTCACATGCACACAGATATACACTTCAGTGAGAGGTCACAATACACCACAGACCTTAAACGACTGGTTAGTTTATGCATTATTGTGGTGATTTGTCTAAGACTCATATATATATAGCACAGGCCCGTAGCAAGCAATTGCAAAAGGGGGGGTTCTTTTGCTGGAAAAGTGGACCTTTTCCCATAAAACATCATGTACCTAGATCAAATCTTACCCAGAGTGGACCTTTTCCAGCAAAAGGGGCGGTTCTTTCGAACTCCCCTGGCTACGGGCCTGCAAGCAGTAGTATACGGCGTACGCATTTAAAGTCCATTTGCAGCGACAAATAGCACTATGCTATAAAAACTCATATTGTGGTTATTATTTTGAACCTTTCTCACCCCGACACCCGTCAATTCACCAACTCGATGTCGGTTACAAGGACGGCGGGCCGGACGGCGATGGGATTAGATGGTTAGACATCGTTTTCACGGTCACCTGACAGAGTGTTTAATAAGTTAAGTTGAAATGCACCTCAAGTCTACGAGCTCATTCCCAATAAAACTGTCGTTCTAGGTAGATCGATCCAACTCCGCGGGGACTCTCGCTGAATGCAGCCCGTTTTACAGATTAACACGTCTCCTCTTAGCGTCGAGTAAAATACAGAAAAGCTGGTGATTGCACGAGAACTGGTACAATGGAAACAAGGGGAAGTACGTTAATATGCTATTCTGATTGCATTCAGCGAACCTGCAGGGTTGGATCGATCTAAGTAGAACGATATTTTCACTGGGAATGAGCCCTAAGTCTAAACACACAGTGATAATCGTTAAATGATTCGTGTAATTGAAACAGTGACGGGAAATTAATAGCGTTCCTTGCAACCGTTTAATATTCCAGCTGTTTTTATTAGTGGAGTGTCACAATTTAGTGTGCAGACGATTTACATGTAAACGTTACACGTGACGCGGTGGCTTTCGTCTTGTACATGAACTTGTACTCTTTTTTAATTGGACTCATAGTTAGGTTTCTAAATTCTATTAAATTGCAAGGGATTAGTTTAAAGCTGGAATTCTAATATATAGCATCCTAAACCATTAAGATTTAACTGACTTTTTTATTTGCACATTCATTTAATGACATAAATATATATTTTGAATAATGGGTAATTTTGACATTGTTTTTAATTTATAATATCCACCTGGACTGGCTATACAGAAAAACCCACATCCCTCTCATATTTTATGTTCCAATATAATTAAAAATTAACCTTTGAATATGTTGAATGAGAAAACATCATACGGCAATCTGTGCTAAAAATTCCATTTATAAATTTATACACACCTAAAAAGAAAATAAAAGCCTACAAATTCAAAGAAAAAGAGTGCTTTTATAAACGCATAAACGTAATTTGTAAAAGTACTGAGGACGTTGATTGCTTTTTCTACCAATAAGAATCCCCACATATGCACATCATTAACGCTGAATTTCCTACAGAAAAAAAAAAAAAACAACCCCGAACCGGTTGCGAAGTCAAATTGTGAATTGCGATTATTCATTTAACTATGTCAAAAGTTGTCAAGTTATTGTCTTGTAAGATGAACTTCGTTAAAAGCTGGAACAATATCAGCTTTCATATCATATTTAAAACCACATACTTCAAAATCCAAATTATGAACGTATACTAATGACGTAATAAGTGTTTTGAAAGAAATTCCTTTACCACAACCAGACATACCCTGTAATTACTATGTCTTGTACTCCGACCGCCCTGGAAAAACTTGTTGTTGTTAGTTTTAAACAGTTTTTATGGCCTATTGACAACATTGTTAAATAATAAGTGTAAATTATGGCGATATATATAAAATTCAATTCAAAACATAACTGATTATGACTAGAGGATCAGAGAGGCGATACCGCCTCCAAATATTGTACCACCAGNATAAATAAATAAAATATAGAGTTGCTAATGGGGTTTAGCCACCATTCTGTCTTCAAGGAAGAGAAAACAAACTAACCACATACGTTAATGAAGAAATTAACTGTCCAATTTCATAAAGATTAATACCTTGTAAATTATTCGCCTTTTGCGTGTGCTAAAACATTTACAATTAGTGACTTCTGCTTGAATAAACGATGAGGCACTCACCTACGTGCAACACAGCCAAGATAAGAATATATAGGGTTCTTTCCCACGTTGTTCTCAACATCTTTCAAACCCTTGGGATGTGGCTTGGACGACGCTCTTTTAAGTGCCCTAAACCTTATTGGCCTAAGATGGCGTATTCTTCACCGGTAGGGTACGTTTATGCTGAAACTTATAAATCCAAGACAAACGGCGTTGGGTTACAAGAAATAAATAACGCTTGTGTATATATCCTTGTAAATTCCTCTGCAGTTCAAGGATGCGGGTCCAGCGTATATTATGTCTGTTATATCGCTCGTTTGCTAACCTTGCAGAAAATCTTGCACGAAAACTTGAATTTAATTGAATATTGTACAGCCTTGTGGATCAGTTCCGTACACAATCGATGTCAACTGAAATATTTTTTTTTCTTTTTGGTGTCAGAAACAATATGTAATTTGAGTGTCCCTTTTCAGCAAAAAAAGCGGCATATATTATCCACCGAATTAACTTGCAAGAGAACGCAGACACTCCCCTTACCTTGAGCACGGCCCCAGTCTTTGCCACGCCGTCTTCCTGCACCTACCGGCTAAGGACGCTAATCAGTCACCGTCCAGCGTGAAATGTAATAAAATATCCCACACCTGTCCTTTCACTAACACCAGGACTTGTATAAATAAGGCAGAAATATTTGCATCACCGTTCAAGCGCGAAAAAGACGAAGGCGCTTCCACAAACAAGAAGACCCCAGCACAATATTAATGTCAGTATTGCGGTCGGTTGACCGTGTTGTGTGCGACATAGTTAACCAGATCGCGGAACGTCCTCTATATTACAGAGAGTTAATCTTGGTGCAAATTTCACGCACGTTAACCGCGTAAATGAAGCTGGTATATTTTATTAAACACTACTTTGGTAAACTGCATAGGGCCTAATAACCATCTTCTTGTGACCATTAACGAAGACTGACACAGGGCGAGTTAATAGGATTCACTTAGCTCGTTCATCAGTGTTAATAGCAAAAACTAAAGTGTATGCTACTGTTGCAGTAACCTCTCTCACAGGCATTTAAGTCTTTCCGTGTGCGCCCACAAACACATACACACGCACGTGCGCGCGCGAGGGCACGCATCTAGACATACGCACACACACACGCGCGCACGCATGCATATATACTCACATGCACACAGATATACACGTCAGTGAGAGGTCACAATACACCACAGACCTTAAACGACTGGTTAGTTTATGCATTATTGTGGTGATTTGTCTAAGACTCATATATACATAGCAGTAGTATACGGCGTATATATTTTAAGTCCATTTGCAGCGACAAATAGCACTATGCTGTAAAAACTCATATTGTGGTTATTATTTTGAACCTTTCTCACCCCGACACCCGGCAATTCACCAACTCGATGTCAGTTACAAGGACGGCGGGCCGGACGGCGATGGGATTAGATGGTTAGACATCGTTTTCACGGTCACCTGACAGACTGCATAATAAGTTAAGCTGAAATGCACCTCAAGTCTACGAGCTCATTCCCAATAAAGCTGTCGTTCTACGTAGATCGATCCAACTCCGCGGGGACTCTCGCTGAATGCAATCCGTTTTATTGATTAATGCGTCTCCTCCTAGCGTCGAAGTAAAATACAGAAAAGCTGGTGATTACACGAGTACTGGTACTTTGGAAACAAGGGGAAGTATGTTAATATGCTATTCTGATTGCATTCAGCGAAGCTGCAGGTTTGGCTCGATCTAAGTAGAACGATATTTTCACTGGGAATGAGCCCTAAGTCTAAACACACAGTGATAATCGTTAAATGATTCGTGCAACTGAAACAGTGACGGGAAATTAATAGCGTTCCTTGCAACCGTTTAATATTCCAGCTGTTTTTATTAGTGGAGTGTCACAATTTCGTGTGCAGACGATTTACATGTAAACGTTACACGTGACGCGGTGGCTTTCGTCTTGTACATGAACTTGTACTCTTTTTTAATTGGATTCATAGTTAGGTATCTAAATTCTATTAAATTGCAAGGGATTAAAGCTGGAATTCTAATATATATAGCATCCTAAACCATTAAGATTTAACTGACTTTTTTATTTGCACATTCATTTAATGACATAAATATATATTTTGAATAATGGGTAATTTTGACATTGTTTTTAATTTATAATATCCATCTGGACTGGCTATACAGAAAAACCCACTTTCCTCTCATATTTTATGTTCCAATATAATTAAAAATTAACCTTTGAATATGTTGAATGAGAAAACATCATACGGCAATCTGCGCTAAAAATTCCATTTATAAATTTATACACACCTAAAAAGAAAGTAAAAGCCTACAAATTCAAAGAAAAAGAGTGCTTTTATAAACGCATAAACGTAACTTGTAAAAGTACTGAGGACGTTGATTGCTTTTTCTACCAATAAGAATCC